GCGGCAGACACTTAGGGGGCAAGGCTATCGCACAGAAGGCGTTACGACAAGGCTACTTCTGGCCCACGATGAGGGCAGATGCACTTGAGCTCATCAAGAAGTGTGACAAGTGTCAAAGGCATGCCAACATCCACCACCGACCTGTTACCAATCTGAAATACCTCACTAGCCCATGGCCCTTCGCATAATGGGGAATTGACATACTTTGCCCATTCCTGCCAGCGACAAGACAGAGGAAGCTAAACCTCTAGCAACAATCACAACCCGCAACATACAAAATTTCTTTTGGAATTTAAGTTTCAGAATTGGTGTGCCAAAATAAGAATTCAGCAAAATTTCACCTTAGTGGCACACCCCCAGGCGAACGGGCAAGCGAAAGTCACCAACAGAGCAATACTTCCCGGACTGAAAGTTTACTTAGCTCGAGCCAAAGGATTGTGGGTAGACGAACTGCCCATTGTACTCTGGGCCTACCAGACTACCATCAAGACTGCCACAGGTGAGACTCCTTTTAACCTCACTTACGGCACAGAAGCGGTGATCGCAGCAAAAATCGAGGTACCTACACTACGCTTGGAGGCCTACGACGAAGAGACGAATTGGGAAGGTTATGGTACCTGAGCCCGGGTCAAAAAGCAACACTTCCACATCGGTGACCTGATTCTTCGAAAGGTTATGGTACTTGAGCCCGGCGTTGGTAAGCTTAGACCGAATTGGGAAGGTCCGTACGTACGAGCTCGAGACTCTGGAAGGGAAGCAAATACCTCGAGCATGGAACATCGGCAACCTAAGAAGATATTATTTGTGATCACTGAACTGGAGAGAGGACTACGAGTCACTCCCAGAAGCCTAAGGGCCATGATAACAAGATGACATAAGACGTCGACACTATCATAAGTCCCAGTCGCCTCTTTGGCATGGGCAGACAAGTTCCAATCGCCTCTTCGGCATAGGCAAACCAGTTATCATGCCTGAAGTATAGATAGTTTGGGTATAAACCCTACTATGTCTAACCCACCTCGACATATAACAACAGGTTGATCCCATTTGAAGTCAGACCCAATGGTTCAACACTGAGGGATAACTGACACCTAAGCGAGTAGCCTGTGTGCAGACAGGTTGGGTATATACCCAACAGTGTCCGCCCACCTCAGCATACAATAATGAGAAGTTACCCCTACTCGAAGTCCAGCTCGTTAGCTCGACAGTTCGGGGTAACCAACACTTGGAAAAAATCTACTCCGGTTATCCCTACTCGTAGCCCAGCTCGTTAGCTCGACAGTTTAGGGTAACCAACACTTAAAAAAAATTTTCTCCTATTTGGTTTAGTTTGCCAGTTCGGGATTATTTACACTTAGAAAACTTTTGCACAGAGATAGCCAAAATACTTGTATTTCATTGATGTGAAGTTTTGAGTACAAAGAAAAAGAGAAACTTCCACTATAAACCGAGCTCGGAGGCTCGGGGTGTACATCATAAAGGTCAAAGAAAAGAGGCAAGAATCATGCATCCAAACTATCGGGCAGGTCAGTCTCCATGCGATCCTCCTCTGCATCCTCTCGACTTGACGAGCCCGCCTCAGGGACTTCATCATCGCTTTCCTCTTCGGAGGAGCCGGGTTCTTCGTTGGCCGCCTTTGCCTTCTCGAGAGTGAGGTCAGACATGGAAACAACTCCGAGGTCCAGTTCGGGAAACTTCTGCCACATCAGCCATTTGCATAGCTTGAAGCTAGACTGGTAAGAGCTCGAACCATACTCGACTTGGAGATTGTGGAACTCTGGAGACTCCTTGAAGCTTTCGATGGCGTGCTCTCTCTCCTCAGCTCATGCCTCTTTAATGGCAGTCTCAAAGATCTCGATGTGCTCTTTGATCATCGCATCGAGGTTCTCATTCTCGCGTTGGAGCTTCTCCTTCTCCTCAGTCAGCGGCAGGATCAGCTTCTGTTGACTCTGAGCTCCCTTCTTAGCCCGAAGAACCTCACCCCAAGCTAAGTCTAGCTCACGGTAAAGTTTCCGAGCGTTCTCCTCAGCTTCCCAAGCTTGCTTCAAGCGGACCTCAGACTGGTAGACCAACGAGTGAATGGCGGAGTTCACCTAGAAAAAAGAAAGCAGAGGTAAGTACCCTTAAAAAGCGAACAAGGAAATGAAGTATAAAGGTAAAATACTCACCACCATATAGTAGCTAGCATCCCGGCCTCCGAGCTCGCTTGTGGGCACGTTAGCCCACTCCGCGACTTCGGCGGGAAATACGACGTCCTTACTCTTGAGGAGCCTGAGCCGAGAGGTCATTATGCTCTCCTTCGAGAGTTGAGGCTCGGGTGCAGAAGTGCTCTCCGATTCGCGAGGTGGAGCTCCTTCGTCTTGGTCTTCGTCTAGGTCCACGATAGGAGGATCGGGATGGACCTCCTCCTCCGGAAGCTCGGCAGAGATCGGCTCCGGCGTAGTGACCTCGAGCGGGACGGGACAGAAGGACTGGCCTCCCGGCGAGACTTCTTTGAGGACTTCCTCTTTTTCCCTCTCTGGAAGCTCCTCAAAAGGTTCTCCACATCGACCTCCGACATGGCTACTGCAAGAGAAAAAGAAAAGGTTACTCGCAAACTAAAGAAAATTCAAAATATAAAAGAATATGAACACTGAGGTGGAGGCCTACCAGGAGGGCTCAGCCAAGCTCCCACAAGCTTCTCCTCGGCCAAGAAATCTCTCATCTCCATGTCGAGGTCCCTCTAGGAGTTAACAACCACCCTGGTCTCCGCATCTAGTCTCACCCCGGGGTCTTTAATAGCCACCCGCCAGTGAGTCAAGAAGGGCCACCCCTCAAGGTTCCGGACAAAAAAGTATAATCTTCCAGGTCGGTATTTTGCTCAGGCTGCCGAATAGGATTTTGAACCCGGGGCGAGGAGAGATGTAGTAATTATGTCGGATGTCCCCGCATAGGCAATCGAAGTTCTTTTTGATTGAGCAAATCGAGCTAAAAATGTCTAAGGATAGAGGTCGGTTATACTTGTGGAATAGGGAAATTGTACCTACTATAGTTCGAATGGAGTTCGGGTGTAATTGGTCGATGGTGATATCAAAGAACTTAATTATTTCTACAGTGAATAGGTGGAGCAGGAAGCACAGCCCAGCTACGAGCTGCTCTTCAAAAACTAAGAGCTCATGGTGACCATGAACCCAAGGGAATACTGAAAACTAGGTTATCGGGAAGATGATAACGAGCTACCAAGGACAGTAGCCTGTCCAAGGTCATAGTGGAAGGCCCGAAGTCATCTGGATCCTGATCCAGAGAAGAAGATGAGACCCCCTCTTTGGAGGTCAGTCCCTCCTCCCGAGATACAGGCTCCTCAGGCCGAGATGGCCCAACTTCGAGTAAAGAGGTTTCTCCTAAGGGCCGGGGAACTACCTAGCGAGGAGCTAACCTCGCCAGTGGGAGCCGAGGACTGCACCTCGGCACCCTCAAGCCCACTAGAGTCACTAAGAAGCCTATCTATGCTAGCACTAGAAATATTGAAACAGGAACAGGAAAGGAGAACAAACTAAGGAAGAAAATATGAACTCACCAAAAAAGATGAAAACGACCTCGGAACACAAGGGAAGAAGTGGCGAGCTAAAGGACTCTGGCGTGACCTTGGGAGAGCTCAATCACAAGATTTTTGGTGAAGAAGAGGGGCTCCTTGGCCCCCTATTTATAGCGCACCGCGTGGCGATCAACAACTGAGACCTGCTCAATCCAACGACTCATGAAAACCGATTGCACGACACCCGAGGACAAAATCGGTTGAGCGTGCTCTTTGACGTCCGTAGAGTTTATAAACAACGTAACGTCCGCGCGTACCCGGGACACAATCTGGGTCATTTCGTGGTTGAGCTAGACGGTTGAATAGGCCCGACCAGCGGTTCGCTCTTCAGATTGTCAGACCCCGCGCCAAATCCACCTAGATCGTCCATGAACTCCTCGCACCGGGTTGGGACCCCTGGCACGAGGAGTGGGGGGCAATTGATGAAGGGTGATTTGGCGCGACCTAGCGAGATGGGGACACGTGGACACGACCTGACTAAGAGATGACAGCTCAGCTTGGCAAGCCTAATTTGCAACAATTGAGCTCGTGTATTCAATCACCTTGGCATAGGGTCACCTCGGCACAGGGTCACCTCGGCGCAGAGTCACCTCAGCATCGAGGCACCTCGGCATTCAATCCAGTTTGGAACTAAAAGACTGAAGTATCAGCTCGGGGCTACTGACCTGGACCACCATGTAACGATCCCGAAAGTTTCTCTAGTAGACTCTGAACCCCACGGGATCACGCCGCGTAACAGCAGGCCTAATCTTCTCCCCGCTCAAGTCGGGCGGAATTGATAATCTTTATTAATTGATAACGTTACTCCCCAATTAAAGTGGAAACAGATCCCATCAGGACGAAGATCCCGGAACCGATCCGCAAAACCCGCGAGGGCTCGGCTATATAAAGGCACCAACCCCAATGACACAAGGTACATGTGATTTTTCTACTCTCTAGCTCTCTAGCTCTCTATCTCTCAAAGTTTTTTCAACTCCCATCACAGTTTACTGACTTAAGCATCGGAGCGACCTCGCCGGATTAGCCACATCGGGTTCTCTAATTCGCTGTCTTGCAGATTCACCTAGCTCGTTGCCCGACTGGAAGTCAAATCATCCTCCAGAAGGGAGTAGTCAGATCGCGCTACATCATGTCCCAAGTCCCAACTCTCTAAGAATTGAAGACGCCACGTGAACGTGCCATGAAGGGTGATTGGGTGATTGAGATGAAATGAGATCATCAGGCTAACGTAAGCAAAAATGTTGCTCTGACCTGGCCGCCTTGCGTCATTTGACCCACGTGCAAAATAACCCTTCCTATCTAGTATCTACTACTATGCGCATGCCTATTTCAAGTGAAGGCACCAAATTAAACTATCCCAAGAGGGCCCCAAGGTGGCTCATCATCTTTCCTCCCTTGCCCAATTCTTTTTACCCTTCTTCATTCTCTTCCCTTTTTTTTCTTCGTCGGGTATATAAGGGGGGTTGGTCTTCAAAACATTTTCAAGATTGGATGGACTACATACAACGAGAAGTAGTGATCAAAGAAGAACCAACTTCAAACCAAAATCCGGCTAGCTATTCGGACATGGACTCTCCTTTCTTTCAATCTGATTCTTCTTTCTTCCAATCCTCTCAAAATTCCGAATTCTCCCCAGAATCTTCAATGAGTTCGCCGGAATATTTCTCATGGGATGGGTTTGCTTTCAGTGATAATTCCCTCCCATTCAATGTAAACGATTCAGAAGAGATGCTCCTCTTTGATGTTTTGGCTGAGGCTGCCAGAGACCCACCGGAGACCCAATTCTCTGCCAGAGTAAAGGATGAAGAAGTGACTTCCAAGGAGAAAGAAGAGCCCATGACCAAGCAGAAGACGTACAGAGGGGTTCGAAGACGACCATGGGGGAAATTTGCAGCAGAGATTAGGGATTCCACTAGGCACGGCATACGGGTTTGGCTGGGGACGTTTGACAGTGCGGAGGCTGCCGCTCTGGCCTATGACCAAGCGGCTTTTTCGATGCGTGGTTCCATGGCGGTTCTTAATTTCCCGGTGGAGCATGTCCGTCAGTCACTCCGAGACATGAAATATGGCTGCGAAGACGGGTGCTCGCCTGTGGTGGCACTGAAGAAGAGACACTCCATCAGACGAAAGTCCGTGAGCAAGAAGAACAAAGGACGAGAAGTGCGAATAGAGAATGTGGTGGAGTTGGAAGACTTGGGGACGGAGTATTTGGAGCAACTGTTRGGCTCTTCTGAGAGTGCTAGTCCCTGTTGAATCAAAACAAAAACCCCCCAAATCATGTCTCCAACTTTCATTTTCCCTTTTGGTTCTTTTCCTTTTATATATATATATATATATATATACATATTTTTTTACTCTCACTCTGGTTTCTCTGCACTTGATTCTCTTTCCTTTGTTCATTATTTTCTTCTTTGATTCTGTTTGTTTGCTCTTGGAGCAAACCACCCTGTTCATTAATTTGTATTTTTTCCTCTTTGAGTTGGCAGGTATAAAAAAGGACAAGATTAATTTTGATTTTAAATTTCTTGAATGACCCTCTGTTTTTGTTTCAAATGAAAAAGTTGCATTATCGTGTGGTACTCAACTTAATTATATATGCCTTCATATAATAATGTACAAATAAAAAGTAATAAGTACTATTCCTCCTAAATTTCCATATTTCCTTTGCTCATCTTTCTCTCCAAAGCTTGTTGTAATTAAAAGAGAAAACCTTATTCTATTTTTGGCCAACCCTTTCCAAAAATCTAATAAATACAGCTAGCCCAAATGGCAATCCTTTTCCAAGAGGGACTCTACATGTTTGATTGATTATCATAGTGCAAGTTGCTCAATAGCCTACACCACGAGGCAAAAGATCTGCCTGTCTTGTACATATCATCCTCCGATATTTGAATGAAAAGGCGAATATGGTAGCTCCACCACCCGCCACCAGGGTTAGCCGGCCTCTAAGTTACACCTCTAACCATTCGTTTCAGCCACACCCTAAAAGTTTTGGAACAAAATAAGGGATGGTGTTAGAAAAAGAGAGAAAACTACAATAGAATGTGGAGAGGAGAGCTTAGGTGGATTGGGCGTTGAATGGACAAGGACAACCACTCCAGTGGGTAGGCCTTGATTGGGTACATCGGCCTCCATTCAATATTGTGGATTTTGGTGTGTGAGCGAGGCGGTGAGATGCTAGGAGTCTATTTGGTGCTTTGCTTAAGCCCTTGTATGGAGATGGGAGAGCTGTCACGAGTGACATGAAAGGGAACGATAGGCGACAGGAGGAGGGAGAGGGATGGTGTTAGTTTTTGTGTCCATTTCCCATCATTATGGACCAAATTACCTGGGACTGATTCTCCTCAAGGCTCTCAACTTATGTTGCCATTTCCCATCTCTGCGAACTACTGCTAAAGTGGCAAAGCTTTAAGGGATAAGTGGACTGCAATTCACTTCAGAAATCTGAATTGCAGCCTCTCCTAATCCACCTTATAAAGTTGGCATCAATCCACCTTATAAACCGAATCCTGCCCATAGATTTGACATCAATCCATGGATAAGATTCAGTCCACCCTTAAAAATCCTAGTTCCACCCTAAAGGTGGACTGAACTATAAAACCCCCCCTTGTTTAATTTTTCGCTTGGACAAAGAAGATCTAACGAGACATTGTTTCCATTTGCACTTTGAGCATTTTGTGGCAAATTCTCGGCGTTTTCGGTTTGCCAAACCTTTGAAATGTAGGTTAAAAGCTAAAGCTTTAGATGAAAAGAAACTTTTAGAACCATAAAATGTGGTTTAGTCAGCGGCACAGCTGCAACTCTTGCATTTGCTTGATTTGAAGAATATCAACTCAATCAGGTTCAGATTAGGGTTTGGGTACATTAAAGTTTTAACAAATTTCCAATCAAACTCAACCTTAGTTATACCCGAGGTTACATCTGTGCCCCCACAAACGTCCCACATGGGTATCTCAACGTACATTGGGAGCATCTCCCCCAAAATTGTCAGAGTAGAAAATATTTTTAATACATGRTTGGGGTATACTGTGGGGCACCCTCTGTGGGGCGCATATGTGAATTCGTTATACTCTAGGCAGTGGATAGGTCACTTGGCACCCCTCCTTCTTAACTGCCCAGCATGCCTTCTGTGGATAAAGTAGCCAATATTCAGTCACATAAAATGTACTGTTGACCCCTAATCAATACCCTAAAAGGGCTTCTTTCAAACCTTAAAGTCCAGGGCTCACCATGGTCAATTTCTTATATTTTTCTGTTTATCAAAATAAAGGGAAAATAGAAAAGGTTTTTTTTTTTGTTTTTTTTCCTTTTAACAAAGCAAAGTGAAGTTGTTTAGAAGTAGAAAAGAAAAACAACTTTTTGGGGCTATATTTTCAAAGATACCGAAGAAAGGTCCTGTCGAGCAACTATGCCATATGCTTTGGACAGCAAATTAAAAGCAGAAAAAACTTCCTTCCAGGCAATCCCTTGCTTCTTTTATTTCTAATGTTTTGACTGCAATATGCTAAGATACTTCATTTTTTTCTTTTTTTTTTCAATACTTTCTAAGTTCAGTAATGGCAACTGAGATTATTTATGTGGACATCATTCAAACCTTGTAATTTGAGATCTGGGAAGGAAGGTGCTAGGAATCTCACTTGACAATCCAACTTTAGATTTTCAGTTGAACGAAATGACTACCCATTCAAAATTAAAAAAAAAAACCACCCATGTGATAAAGTCTCGACTAAAAACACTACAACTGTTAAAGTCTGTAAGACTGAATGAATAGATTGGTGGTTAAATAAAATAAAACACAGCTACATACTTATGTTCTATTAATTGGTGTAGTGGTAAAATCTTTGGGTTAGTAAGCGCGAGATTGCATGTTTAAGTTTGAGAGTGGCCGCCTTGTGCGAAGAAATGTGCCAAAAGGTGATGACTGTATCCAGTTTATTCCTCCCAAGACCCCTGATGGTTGGTACCAATATTGAGTAATGGCGTTTTCTATTTGTTACGTATTTGCCCCAGTTTTAGAAATAGGGCAACTCAACCGCCTAGAAACCATGCTACAGTCTACATACACCCTAGAGAGAACGAGAAAAATGTGCCTTAAGCATGTCAGCATGTCTTCTTACGGGTCATTTGGTTTCTATATAATTTCTACGGAAAGTCACATTTACCCCGCAGAATGCGCCTCAAAAACGTCCTATGTACATTTTAATAATATATTAAAAACATTTTCCAATAACAAATACGAAAGGTATTTTTAATGCATATTAAAAAAGGTTTTTAGGGTAAATTCAGGGCAGATGTGAACTGCTCCTACACATCCTAAATTGTCCTGTCCTAATTGGGGGGCAGTTTTTGAAGTCTATCAGTCCTCAGAAGAGATAGAGGGAATCAGCAGATAGAAAAAAAAAAAGTCAAAATTCAAAATTCAACTGGTTAATTGAACTCGGCTATCTTTTGTCTATCCTTAAATTATCCGCATTGTGTATCAAACTTTACCCTCTTTCGACTTTAAAGCCCATGAAGCATTTTAGCCTTTTTCTTCGGAGAGAAAAAAATATTATATTAATAAAAAAATTCAGTCAAGAGAGGGTAAAGTCAGATTCAAGGGAAGTTCTTAAATATATTTCTGTTGCGAAGAGGCAACTAACATGGTCCCMATTATTCAATCTCCATGTCCATTCGTGGGTCCTATATCCATGAATTAGTACATATATTTTGTGATAATGGAAATGACCTTCATATTATTCTATATTATTTTTACTGTTTCATTTTTTGTCATACGTTCATGGGATTAAAACATCTGATTTAATGACTGACGTACAAATAATAAATATCTTTGCCACTTGTCTTCATCATAAATCACGATCAAATATATGTGGTGACTGGCACCGGAGCCCATTTGCTTCAGCGTCTTTTCTAGAAGACAATTTTAATCTAAGATAATCCTATGGGCATATTGTTACCTTTGGTCCATTTTCTTCATCTGAACAGTGAGCAAGCCCACCAGTCAGCATCGGCACCTTCTGGTGTTCTAACTTCTAACCTCAATTATTTCAAAGCAACTAATATTTAAAGTTCCATCATGATATCAGAAATACATGTTACCGGAAAATTTTGTAACCAATTAAGGGATAATCAATCAGGAATGTTCTTACCAAAATTTACCAATTATGAGGTGCTCTGATTGATTAAAGCCCTTTCGGTATCATATCTTTTTACCAATTATGAAAGTATAGATCTTTTCAATTTAAATATATATATATATATATATATATATATAAATAAAATAAAATAAGAAAAGGGTGCTTATTAAAAAAAAGAAGGGTTTTATAGTTAGTCATGTAATCTAGATTTTTTTTTTTAATCTTCTTGATAAGTAAATCAGAAAACTTTTATTGAAAAGTAAAAAGGAGAAAAGAAAATGATTGAAATCTAAAAGATCTTTTGATGATGGGAGACACATCCACATGGCAGTTAGTTAGCGATTGAAAATGATCCATGTGTTAGGCCACATCATCTTGTCCTCACTTGATAAATTTCAACTTTATAATATTTCTCTGCCACGTATTGAGATTAATGCTCGTAAGTGCTTAGACCACCTCTTGTTCTATTAAATAAAAAATGCTATCTTTTCATGCCATCAAAATCCTAAATCCTAAACCCCTAATTCATAAACTCTAGATCCTAATCTAAACCTAAACCTTAAAATTAAAATACAAAAGGCATCTACTGGTCGGATATATTCCTCCCACGGAGTAGGAGTCAATTTTTTTTATTATTGCGTTCACACATGTAACCCTTCATCAAAACTTCTACGTCAAATTTATACAGGATAGACCCATTTAACTGAAATGAACAATTTAGAAAACAATATTAACCAAATTTTTTTGGGGGTAAAGAAGGATCCCTATCTAATTAACATTTTGCTTGAATTGATTTCAAAACAAATAATTAAATAAATAACATTTTGCATAGATTTAACCACATCATCTTTCGATGGAAAGACTGAATGTCATTCACCTCGAAAATTCTTTAGAAGAGTAGGGAAAACAATTAAAGAAAAAAAAATAGGCTCTCTTAGTTAGCTTATTGTCTCTTTCAGTCCTATCATGAATTAAATAATGTGTCCATTCTCTTCAAATTGTCAAGTCAAAAACAGTTTGGCTTCCTCCGCATGTATATTTATTATGGCCATTATCACCATCATTTCATTTATAAAAGAGAGACATTAAAGCATGGTTTCTTCTTCACTTCGTCAAATAATCTGATTTTTGTTTTCATATTTACCCTCCGTTTTCTTAATTTGTTTTCCCAGTAATTTATGGATCTATGACAAACATCAAATTTAATATATTGCTATCATCACCTGTAGGACTAAGACTGAAACCGAAGGAGAATGTGGGAACATAAAACGGAATCTGCTCCTTATATGAGGGCGTTTCACATGCACATCTACCATGTATTGGGAACATCTCTCATAAATAAGTACTATGCATGTGAGGCGTGAGTGAAACGCCAGCATAAGATCCGGTCTCATGGGAGCATAGGACACTTTACTTGCAATATCCGGGCATACAAACATGTGTACACGATAAACAAACTTTGACGTATAGAATGGGTTCGCATCTGCCCCCCCACATAGTTGCCCCCCAAAAACGTTTCATACATTTTATGTCCGCCGCGTGTCCTCAGGCACGCGCACTAAAATGGCTCGTGCGGCCTCCCTTTGACGTCCTTTTGCAAATATTTCCGTTAATTCCATCTCGCCTAAAAAGATTTCCTGGTATTCTTCTCCCATTCTTCTGCCGAACTAAAACCTTTGCGCCCCTTTTCATAACCCATCGGAGATGAACTTTTCGAGTTCAGCCGGTCGATGCCAACGACCATACCAGTAGAGGTAAGTATTCCGTAAGTTTTTCTCATTTTCTATCTTTTTTTTTTCTTTTTTTTCATTCATCTTCTAATATTCTTAGATCTGAAACCCGCCGGAGTGGAAGCCCCCTTCGAGTTCCACCGGTTGACAGCTTGATGCCGATGACCATTCCGGAATATTTATTTATCGGAGATACGTTTCACTCTTTCAGCCAATTGTTCATATTGTTTTTGTTGGATTTTAATCTCATAAGAGATTAAATCCAATGGGTTTGATTGGTTAATTATATGAAAAATTGTACTTATACACCTGATTGGAAATTAGTTTTTCTCTCACAAAACCCAGTTTTCAATTTGTCCTACATTGAAAAATTATAAACTTTGTTTTCAGTATTTTAATAGGAATTAATTTACACTTCTTAGAAATAGTAGAAAAGAGTATGGAGGTTTGATACTGCGTGTGTGCACGTGTGTGCGACGCAATGAAGCGCTTTAAAGGCACATTTTGCATGCACCCGCGTGGCTCACGAATGACGACTTTGGCTTTGGTGCAATACTGACCGTTGATCAACATTGATGAAATTAACAATCACGATTCAATTGAGTGTGATCAAGAAGCACAATTCAAAGTTAACTAAGTAGTAGGAATCAGACTTCAAAAACACAGATTTTCGAAATCCACTCTCTCTCTCAGTTCGGTATGCTACAGCCTCACAAAAGGTTTTTTTGGAGATTTTTCAACTTTGGTGATCGCTGATTCTTGCCCAAAGTTCTATTGTATCCTGGGAACAGATTTGTTTATAACCCAATAGCAAACTCGTAAGGGGCAAATAGAACTTATCCTCCAAAAGTACAGTGACCCCATTTTCCAACAGTTTTCAACCGATTTTCACGAGTAACCGAGCTAAAACCCAGTCCCCTCTTTTGTTCATACCGTTCAAACAGGGGAGTGGGTCGAGATTGATTGATCCCCATACACCTCCGCCTCCGCCTCCTCGTAAAAGAAGCCGAGAGTATGAAGCTTTACTACCTTCTTATCCTCCTTGAGTGCCTTCGATTTGCTTAACACAAATTGCAAGTAAAAAATCCAACACCTATTCTCTGTATTTCTTGTTGAATCTGAGCTCAAATTATCGCTCCGCCAGTCCTCTCGTTATCAGAGCAAACGAATTTCCATTTGAGCTGAACTCCTTCGAAGGCATCCACGGCCTCTTTGCCTTTCTTTATTGTGATGGCAAGGTTCTTTTCTCTGGGGGCCTTGCACACCTTTAGACGTTCGATCGAGGGGGTGATCTTCGTGGTACAACTCGGCCGCCTCATAGACTTGATTGCGGGTGATCCCACTGAATTCTTCGAAGATGAGCATGAGCTGAGAAGGCCGAGGGGAGAATAGGTAGCGGAGGCCCGAGAAAATGTAGTCTTGGATCTGATGGGGTATGAACTCGTTGGCCACCAACCGAATGAGCATGGTGGAAGCGGTCAAGGAGGCATAGGCTGATAGCATCGTCGACACGAAGGCATGTCTGAAAGTGAGAACATGTTTAGCTTAGTGCTGCTTTTCCTTGGGAGATGGATGAAGAGAGTTGCTATGGCTTTCATGGATTAATTGATCAGTTGAATTGTATTGTATATAAAGCTGTGGCTCTAGGTCTCGGCCTCTTGTTTTGGACCTTTAAGACACGTCTGCTTTAAGTCACGGTCTTGCTTCTTCTGAAAAGTGGGTCTCCCTTTGAGCTCAGATTCAACAAGAAATAGGCTCTGACTCCGGCGGATTTCAGATCTGAGAATGTTAGAAGATGAATGAGAAAAAAAAAAAAGGAAATGAGAAATACTCACGGACCACTTACCTCGGTATGATCGTCGCATCGACCGGCGGAACTCGAAAGAGTTAATCTCCGGTGGGCTATAGAAGGGGGGCGCCAAGGTTTCAGTTTGACACGAGAATGGGAGAATACCCGGAGTAAGGGATTAAACCTTTTTGCAAACGGACGTCAAATTGAGGTCTGCACGAGCCATCTTAGTGCGCGTGCCTGAGGACACTCGGCGTGCATAAAATGTATGGGACGGTTTTGGGGGGCAACTATGTGGGCGTTAGATGCGAACCCGCCCATTTGGCAGAGTTTTGCAAGATTATCACCATACAATTTCTTGTCAATCAATCATATTTGATAAGACAAGTTTTATTTTAGTTAATGTTGTTCAACTTTGACTCGTGGTAATTCTAATATCTTTGAAAAATTAATTAATTTATGGGTTTTTATTATTCAGTCCATCAAATAGATTTTAATTCCACCGTACAGTTGGGGTGGACAGCTGGAGTGCAGTATAACTTTACTAATATTTAATCCAGGGTCGGCAATTGTTAACCAGCTTGGTTGTCTCAGAAATAACTTCCCTAAGTTGAACTGCTGCCAATTTTAATGATTTTTCTTTCTTTTCCATTTAACAGATTTTTATGGAAGGATTAATTGTTAATATGAATTAATTATTTTGTTTTACTTGTTTCTAAAAATGCTACATTATAAAAAAATAATAATAATAAAGCAAAAATATTTTCATTTTGATTTAAGAAGATGCTACTATTCTGGGTTGTGTTGGGTAATGTTTGGGGTTTATCAATACAACCGACATTTGCTAGGGCAGTGTCGTAGCCCTGTGCTGAAACAACTGAATCAAAGCTTTTGATCTGTTACCATGGCCCTATCTTGAATTAGATGATGTAATTAGGAGTAGATTCGAGTCGAGTCGAATCAAATACTTGGTTGTTCGAGTTCAGCTCGCTGAAATATTTTTAGATTCAAGTTTCAGTTTGAGTTCGAGCTCGATTTTGGCTTAGAGATTTGAACTCGAGCTTGGCTCAGTTCAAAGCTCGTAAGTTCGGGCTTGACTCGAACTCGACTACAAGTCATTTTTTCTAAAAAATATAAATTATACATGTAAAAATATTTTTTGTTTTACATACAGCAAAATAATAATTATAAAAATTATTTATTACTATACATATAAAAAATTGTTTTTATTTTACATACAAAAAAGTAAGAATTATAAAAATTATTTACTATTACACATAAAAAATAAAAATATTATTATATATAAAAAAAATATTTATTTTATATATATATTTATACATTTATATGTATATGTATGTATGTATATAATAAAAATTTATCAATTTATTATACTAGGCTCACGAGCCTCACGAGTCGAGTTTCACTGGACTTGAGCTTGACTCAATTAACAAACGAGCCTATGTATCATGCTCGAATTCGGCTCAAAACTTGGTTTAAACTAAGTCAAACCAAACTCAAATAGCTCGTGAAAAGCTCGGCTCATAACACCCCTAGATGTAATTTATTGATAGGGCCACTACAGTACATGTAAGGCTATGATTTCCTATTTTAGCTAGTTCTACGCTAAGACAGTGTGGTTACAAAATTGAACTCTTATCAATACAAATTTTTTGAAAATTTATCGTGTTACATTACATCATGTAGCCACTTCACTATAAAAATATGCATTCGGTTGGTGTTGGCATTTATGATACAAACATCAAAGTATGGTGTTTCATAAAGAAATGGCAATGGTATCTTCATTTAATATTAAAAATGAAAATTTTTTATGTAAACAATGGCTTATTTTATCAAATATTTATATTGATAAATCCCAACTTTTTACTAGCAAAAAGATTTCACTTTGAAAGAGTTAACTTGGGCTTGGGGTATTATTTAGAGTGTGGTATGCACACGTATATTTCTTTTATACACTTTTATGAGTGCTGTTTTAAAACTCCCATCAATTACACCATCCTACTTTTAATCAGTCATGGATCCAAAATAAAGGTCATTTACTAAAACACTCACAGATTTACTAAAACCTACCCATGAAAATGAAAAATAACACAGTTTTGGCCCTAATATCTGTTCGAACAAATTTAATTAAAATAAAAAAGAAAATGTCATTTTTGCCCTTGATAAAATGAAGGTAGTCATTCTATTCAATCAATTTTGTTCTCAAATTAGAGAAGGAAGATACATTATTTTTAGCCCCAAAATTTATTTCAAGTGGAGGATCAGCCACATGATAGACAAAGAAACTTGGATGCCATTCGTACTCTCTTCTTCTAACCAAACATTATTTCTTTCCAAAAGCTTGATATAAGGTTCTATGGATACTTTTGGAATAAACAACCATGAAGCCATGCCCTTAAACATTTCCACTTGATTTAGGTGGTCATACAACCATTTCTAAGTGGCAATACAAACAGTTTTTAATGGAAGGTTGATTAAGTAAATTGGCTGCAAGCTATAGGGACATGTTAATAAAATGCAAAGTGTAAGGTGGGTTATTAGTAAATTCATGAAACAAAAGGGATAATTTAATAATTGACATAGAAGAATTAATATCCATTCCATCAAAATCTCTGGATACCATATGCTTAATTAATTTATGAAGCATAATATCAGAACAAACAAAGAAAAACATGCTTCTGAAACTTAGAATTCAAAAACATTTTTTGTGTAGGTTAATAGTATTGTTGGGTGATTGTTTTTTGTTTTCTGATTTTTAAGCCTTGCATTGGGTTGGGTTAAGAGGGTGAGTGTTCTGTTTGTTGAGTTTTGGTGTAAGGTTGGCTATGTCTTTACCCATAGTGATTTACCTCCCTTTTGATAATGAATAATAAAATTTTGGAGTAAGTTTTTTTTTTGGCATTTCTCTTAAACTCACCATGATTTTTCAAAACCTCTATAGTATATGTTTGGCATTGATAATGCATATACAGAGAAAACGGTGCTGTATATGTGTGGGTTGGAAGCAAATGGTGTCTTTTCTTTTTGTTTGGAAACGTTGCTACCAGGTAGGATGTTTCCTGGGGCTACAACACCTTCTATTTGGTACCAATGCTTCATATCTGTTTTCAGTACTAGTACCCATTATAGGAAGTCCACATCACTGCCACATCATGTCCTCATTGGCAACAATGAGCTATAAATTGAGAAAATGTTGAATTCGGCGTTTCCCTAGGCTATGCCTTCTCGATTTCCAACACACGGTTTGGAACACCATTTTTTATAGAAAAATGGTTCTAAACATGTTACCGTTTTCTGGAGCACCGATTTCTCCAACATGGCGCTGATGTGTCACCATTTTCTAGAGCAATGACATCAATGCCAAACACCTCCCTAGAAAGCCCCTTATCATTGAGTTTTATTGTTCAAAACTCATCTTCAATTAGATTCCATTAGATAACCATTAGTGATCATTAATAAAAGTTTTCCACATTAATATTTAAATATTTTACATGACCAACAAACTACCCTAGAATGGCCATTCATCCTTATTAAATATTTTTATGACAAAAATCACCACTAATCCAAGCACAGACCCACCAGTCTTTGGAGGTTTTAAAAAATCACGGTGAATTTAAGAGAAATGTGAAAAAAGTCATAAAAAAATTTAGATAATATCCCTAGAATTTTTAGGTGGCCACCCCTCTATCAAGGCTAAACTTACGAATCTTATAAAATTTGGATTCAATAGCAACTTTTAGACAAATAGTGGAGCTCAATCTTCTTTATATCACAATGAAGAAAGCAACTTACCTTGGAGAACAGCCACTTTATTCTTGCTATGATCTCATAATTAAGTTAAAATAGGGTAGGGCCTAGCAAATTCCCAGAATTGTTTCTTTTCTCTTTTTTCCTTTCTTACACCGGTAAGGTGTGGGATCGATGCAACACAAAAATTTCCCAAAATTTAAGAATTATTTAAATATTTTAACAAATTATATAATAATTTTAAAATATTCATTAAAAATGAAAAAAATAATTATAATAGATTTAATAATATTCTTATTATTAATAGTTTTATACTTCTACAAAAATCACCATGAAATTATGTACTACTAACAATATAAATTACGACTTTCCAAACTATTCAAATTAAATATTATTCAAAGAAAAGAAATTTAACAATAAAAAATAAAACATTATTTTAATATTTCAATAACTAAATATCTTAAATAATAAAATACTAAGTGAGTCCAATTATTTTGTTCTCAACTATATCGGAAAGGTATGATATCAGAATAAATTAATGATGAGGGATAATTTGGTCCGACCAGTGACATGATGACACGTGGAGTGACCCATAGATTTGGTGACATCTTAATATTCTCGGATACCTCAATAGTCCAAGTCACCTCGGGTCACTTAGCTAAGACCGGGGCCCAAATAGCTCGCCATCCTCACTAACCTACTGAGGTGCCATGTAGCCTCTTTTTAGAAGTGAGTCAGTTGTCTCCGATCTCTTCAGGATCACGTTGCATGCCAATGGGTCCTATCTCTATCCTGCCCGAATTGCATGGGCCTGGATAAGCCTTATCAACTTACAAGGAGTCTATCTTCGGGGTGCGGAATAGACTCTGAGTTACACAGGTCGGTGATCTCGGACATGTTTCGTGAGTCCCACGACAGCTCGCCTATATAAGGGTTTCACCTCCAACCTCACAAGGTACATGCGATTTAGCTCTCACTTGCTAGTATTCACAAGCTATCAATTCTCTGCAATCTCCTACACTAACTTAAGCATCGGACTACCCACACCGGGTAAAGTACCTTGGGACCTCTAATCCTTCTTCCGTGTAATTCAACTCGGCCACGTAGCAGTCCGACATCCGAGCTGCCTTATAGAAGGGAGCGACCAGATCGCGCTACATCAATTAACACCCTCTGTGGGAAACATAACAAAAAGTCGTAATCTCACCAACTTGCTATCGTACATCTCTAATCTAATGGAATCTTCAAGCAGCACAACAACTAACCTGCTAACATCAACAACCAGGTCATAACGGGGCCAAGAACAACCCACAACACATTCTGAGGTCCTGTCTGTGACTATCGGGCAATTTATAGTGCCCTTAGCTTTGCCCGGCGTGCTAGAAGTGTCAAACCCAACCTTCCCACTGCCCCAAGTGAATGCGCATCTCCCTCCGGTTGAGCCCTCTGCGGTTCTTGTGGTGATCGATGTGCGCCAGTTTCACAAGCTGGTGTAGTATGTCCGCRACATCAATTTGCAGATGCAAACGTGAGAAGAGAGATTCGTAGCCATAACRCACTTGCCACAACAATAGCAACCTCAGCAGCCGTAGCAGCCACCACAGTAAAATGTGAACCACCATAACCAAAATCAGCACCAACAGCCAGGCGACCAACAACCTGGCATCAG